CACATTCTGTAAGAACTGTCTGGAACGCTGCTTAGACCACACCCCTCAGTGTCCCCTCTGCAAAGAGAGCCTGAAAGAGGTGAGAGACAAATCTTTGCATGTGTCAATTGGTTCGCCAAATATGTGCTCCTTGGTTTGACGTTTTAGTTCTCATCTTCTATCCTACTCTCTCCAGTATCTCGCATGTAGGAAGTACAATGTGACGTCCATCTTGGACACGCTGATCAAACAGTTTTGGAGTCAGCAGAGTGCAGAGAGGACTAAATCGCATCTGGAGGAGACAAAGGAGCTCTCAGAGTAAGCATTACCGTTACTCATCTGGTCGATTCAAATGTTCGATCGTCTGAACACAGAATGTTGAAAGGGTCTAACGTGTTTTCTCTCCTTTCCTCCCTCTGCGCAGCCTTACGAAAAATGTGCCTATCTTTGTGTGTACCATGGCTTACCCCACCGTGCCTTGCCCCCTGCATGTCTTCGAGCCACGTTACCGCCTCATGATTCGCCGCTGCATGGAAACAGGCACGCGGCAGTTTGGAATGTGCATAAATGATCCCCAGAAAGGGTAAGCACGCAACAAAGTGGGTTACTGAACCATCAAGGACATGTGTTGGATTTTCTCTTTCTCATTTTGAACCCATTGTTCTCTTTTATTCCAAAAAAAAAAAAAAATCTCAAAAGGGATTACTGGCAGACACTGCAAAAACTCAGCTGAGATTAGAAAAATAAACAGTTGTTTCCTTCTGTGCAGGTTTGTAGATTATGGCTGCATTCTGACCGTCAGGAGCGTTCATTTCCTCCCCGATGGACGGTCGGTAGTAGACACCATCGGAGGAAAACGATTTCGGGTCCTGTCCAGAGGAATGAAGGATGGTTACAGTACCGCTGACATCGAGTACTTAGAGGATACAAGGGTAAGAATTATAATGGATAGTGTTTGAATAAGATTATATCCACTGTCTTATGCTTTAAATATCATACTAGATTCTATATTTTAAATAGAAACTCAATAGGGGACGATTATGGGTGGGGTATAATTTTATTTGACATTGAGTCAACCTTCATTGCCAGAAATGTTTCCACAATACAAAATGACTGACAGGTAAATTCTTCATTTTCTCAAAGGTGGAGGACGGTGATGAGCTCGAGAGTCTTCAAGAGCTGCACGATGAAGTGTATGAACAAGCCCGTGTGTGGTTCCAGAACCTGAAGATCCACTTCCACAACCAGATCCTGCAGCACTTTGGACCAATGCCTGAACGAGAGGCTGACATCCAGGTACATACCCAGCAACATGTAGACGTTTCCCTCTTTGTGCCCACATCAGATTATGTTGGGATTACATTGTAAATAAATAATATTTTTTGGGATCATAAGGCCATTTTATCAATCAGAAAACCTGCTGAAATAGGAAACTGTGAATACGGTTCTTGTTTAATAATCTGTGTGTGAAGTCATGTAGGTTAAATGGATCAGAAAGGGATGCCTTGTCCCATGTTAAACTCTTTTTTTGGATGTATGATGATAAGGCTTATTTGTAAACAAAAATAAATGAAATCATCAAAACCTTTATCAGCTGAGTTCCTCATAAGCATTAATATTCTCCACAACACTCAAGGCTTTGTTGATCTGTTTAACTTCATCTGACACAGACTGCAGATTCTTCGTCTAAAATTGGATTATCTCATGACACACTAGACTTTCAGGGGAAGCTACAACACTGTGCGTTCACATGACTCTCCCGTTGTCTGTGCTCTGCTCTGGCTCGCAGCCTGCAGCGCTCAAAGGGATTACGGCTCCAATGTAAGGACAACCACGGGGCGGAGTCTATCGACAATATAGGCTAAACAGCTTTATGGGTGCCTCATACCTAATCCCAGCAGCAGCCCTGTTACGTCACAAGAGTGTCACGAAGGGAATACCTAACTGTACTATGTGCTCACAGACTAGGACAGTAAATCACTGACTGGATTTTTTGGTGGTATCTTGTGTTTTTTTTTAGGAATCAGTGATATTTTCGCCAATGGCTAGCGCGCAAAATGTAAATCATACCCAGGGAACATTATTTACTTCAAATCCTCGTGGTGTTAAGCACGTTTTGTAACTGGCTCAGCTTTTCAAGGAAATGTTTTAGATTTTTCTTTCCAGCTCTGACGCAGCCATGTACTGCATTAGCAGATTACATTACGGGGGTCATATTTTTTTTTAACTCATTCCTGGGTTGTGATGTATAGATGTTATGAAAGTGCCTTCATAAACCATCAATACAAAACAAATACCTTTACTCGTGATCGGACTTCCTGGAGTTTGTATATACTTAATGGGAATTTCATGTTTCGTGTCAACAAATCTTAAAAAAAAAACTATCAAAGGAGTCGATAAATGTCATATATGATATATGTGATTCAAATGTGGATATATCATGAGGGCTGAAGAGGCTCCCAACAGTTAAATTAATTCAACAACAAACCAAACTCTAACAGCTCAAACCTCCAGTTGAACTGGAGATGTGAGGGTATTGTTTTTTGGTGAGTTATGTTGAAGATTGGCACAAGGTTTAACTGGGAGAAAGCCAAAACCCAGTGCTTGAACACCAGAATATTTCAAAGGTTTAAAACTTTATGTAAACCTTTCTAATGTGGAGTTTTTTGGTGACAACAAAGGTTTTATACTATTTCCTTCATCTTTTTCCAGGCGACTCCTAATGGTCCAGCCTGCTGCTGGTGGCTGTTGGCTGTCCTACCGATCGACCCGCGATACCAGCTCTCTGTCCTCTCCATGACCAGCCTCAAAGAACGCCTGGTGAAGATCCAGCACATCCTCACATATCTGCAAAGCATCCCAAGCAACTAGAGCTTCCTTCTCCTCATCGAACACAGACACCATATGGACTTAAAAAGAACTCACACTGAATCAGCATCTCAACAACCTTTTTTCTTTGTTTTTATTCTTTCTCATGACATTTGTTATGACTTACTACAAGACTCCCCGTTGAACAGGCTCCTTGTATTAAGCCACAAGTCAAAGCAAAAACACCCCTTGAGCTGTGGATCAATCCAGAGACACTCCCTCTGACACACATTGCTTTTGTTTTCTGACTGTTAACAATTATTTAAAAAACAACAAGACCAATGTGACAGCATCTTTTTTCACATTCGTTCATAATGCAGTACATTTTCACAAGAACTTCCCTGAACAATCCTGTTCAAGCTAGAGGAGCGGTGGAGGAGGACGACAGAGAGGAGAACATGTAACAATCACCTTTGAGTGTTCCTTATTTATAGAACTTTTCTGAGCTCAGCTGAAAAGAAGATAAGTCGTAAGATATCTTCAGATAATGCAGAGGGCACGATGAGACGATTCTTTGGAACGAAATCCTAAATGCTGAAAGTCCAAAAAGTGATAGCCAGAAGTGGTCCAAAGGTACCATAGGAGAAAAACTCAAGTGCAACTACAGGCTGGTTAAAGTATTATTTTATCTCTTCCAAGCAACCTGATTTTTTTTCTTCTGACTTTTCCATCATGCTTTTCACGCACAACTTCCATCGCTGCCTCAAAGTAGAGGCGAGGAACCTTCCTGCTGAAAGAATGAGACCATCTGTGCTTATCCTCAGCGATTTTTCACCTGCTGCCATTTCGTTCCCCTCTTCACATCTGACCAGAGGAACTCTCATGTCCATGAAATCACACCTTGGTTCTTTTCCTTTTGACGACTTTTCTTCCTCTCACAGTTAACCTTAAGTTGGCTTCACAGGCTTCCAGACTTTTAGTTTGTTAAAAACTTTGGGGATTTTGCAAAGAAGTATTATGTGTGTGCTCTTTAAACCAAAAGATTCAGCCTACCCATTTATTTAACTTAAAATTAACTTGTAAGTTAATGTTTTATTTATACATTATAGACCATGTGATGTATGAAAAATTCTAAAGGGGTCTTGCAATATTATAACAGTTTGAAAGAAGTCAAAAACAGCATGTTTTCCTCCAGTGAGTTGGCATTCTTCTTCACTCAAAGCTGCTCAATCTTCTCGGAGAAGAGTGGACGGTACCTGCAACTGCCTTATAGCATTTTGTATGGAGATTTGAAAAAAAAAAAAACACAATGCGTTGGTGTGGCTACCATTCCTTTTTTTGCCATAGTATGAAGTATATTTTTAATGTGTGTGATTTTTTTTGGATGTGTTCATCCATGTGTATATACCATTTCTTTAAGGAAAGTCGAGTCGAAGCTCTTTTATGTAAATCATCTGTAAAAAGGCTTTTTTGGACAGATGTTTTAAGTTATCAATTTATCAATAAATGCACTCTTTTTTTTCAATCTGAGCCTCAGCGTCAAGTATTTTACAAATGAATAAGAAGACATGCAGCTTTTCTGTGATGGCATGCTGGCGCTTTATTGTGTAAGTGTTAGTTTTAAATGAAATTAAATGAAATATCTCTGTATAAAACTGAACAAATTTAAATATAGGCAACATCAGTGTAAAAAAAAAAGCTTGCTTTATTTATAAAAGAGTTTAATAGATTTACTTTGAAATGTTATTTCCACTTTAAATCAGTCAGAAGAATTTAGTACAAGAAAAAATTAATTTACAAATCAAAAATAACCACAAATGTTCCAACTATGGCAAAGAGATGTGTTTTCATTGTTTATATATAACTTGTATATATATATGTTTATAATCTAAACTCTAAATGAGTTTAGATTATAAACCCCTCTTAAACCTTTGCTGATAAATCTTCCAATTTGTAGAGCTAGAGCATTTAAACATATATTCTTTAGCACTAGGGGGCGACAGTGGTGCATTATTGTTATTCACTATATTCTGTTTTATAACTCACCCTCTGCACTTACACTCAACCCATCTCAACTGTCATTAGAAAACATGAACAGATCTCTTCATGTTATATTTAGACACCTGCAACACAGAGTGCTGATAACCAGCAGGAAGAACGCTGTGTTCATGAGCTGCCGTGTTGTGTGCTCCAGTCTTCAGCACCATCAGAGGTCACAGCGCAGACAGCATCATAACAAACTCTGCAGAGGGAGACAGAGACAGCGGCAGATCCTCTGATAACAACTAATGACAGTCTAATATTATAAAAGGACAGCTTTGGATCTCGCCGCGTCATCGGCAGCACACACACACACACACACTGGAAACTAACACAGTTCTATTATTGCCAAGTTAATTAAAAAAAAAAGAAGCTACTGGGTTGATACATCAAACAAGGAAGGAAACAATTCCTATCGTTTAATCAAAAAAAGAGAGCTGATTGGTTTTCTGGGAAGGTATCAGATCAAGTCCTAGATTCAAACCCTCAAATGTGGCCAAGTTTCCAGACTCATCAGCTTGATTACCACTTGTTTCAGCTGGCTGTATCCATTACAGCAGATTCACTTGTCAATCAAGACAGCTATTGACGTTCGCTGTGTATGAAACCCAGCTCCTGATCGCTCGTGGCAGCTTTCACGAAATCCATCCAATCAATCATGTGTTCCATTGACTTCCTGAAGCGCTTTGCTTTGAAAGGCGTCTGATTGTAGGTGAGAATCTATTGATTGACTGAGTGAGTACTAAAGCTTAATTCCAGATTAACCCACTAACATTATCTCCCGAGGTACTCCTTTAACCATTTTCTATAAAAAGAAGTAAACCGAGCGGAACAGCGGCTCGGTCTGAGTCTTCCTAACACCTGAGATTGACCTGTCACCTGGATATTCACAAATATCCTCTCTCTGCTGCGGTTTGCTTCTTTTCTGCCCGTGTGGCTTAACCAGACACATGCACACTAACCTTGCCCTGGGGGCTAATTGATGATAATGACAAGGACCAGCTTATTGGTTCCGCCACAGACTGACACGCCTGTTCATATATTTCCAATAATTGTAATTGATCAGAACGCTGAGACAAGATAAACAGGATCACAACTCTAAACCCTCCCTGCTCTGCAGCCTGTAATGACACTTACATGCATGGGGTGTTTATAGTGCCTGCTCATTGTCGTGTGTGTGTGTGTGTGTGTGTGTGTGTGTGTGTGTGTGTGTGTGTGTGTGTGTGTGTGTGTGTGTGTGTGTGTGTGTGTGTGTGTGTGTGTGTGTGTGTGTGTGTGTGTGTGTGTGTGTGTGTGTGTGTGTGTATGGCTTGGGAGGTAACACGTGGTAATGACATTTCTGCAAAAGTCCTTGAGCCGTCCACCAGAGTGTGTGTTCCCTTGTGCGACATGTGACAGCTGTCCAGGCATGTGTATTGATTGTCTTAATGCACTTCTGATTAGATTGGATTGGCCCTTTCAACCAAACCCACCTTCACTTAACCATCCCTCCTTTTCTATTTCACTCCTTTCCCCACCTGATTCCTTACTCGTATTCTCCCCCAGTCCCCTTCAACCTGCCTGCTTTTACAAAACCCAACAAACTCACTCAGACTCAGGATGGACTGGTTACCTGTACCTGGTATGTTAACCTTTGTAAAGATAATCATCACATTTGTAATGTATCTGTTTACTCTAATTTCTCTTCTAGGGTAATTATTTTAATGAATTATCTCTTTCGGTTTAAACTCTTAAAACTGCAGCAGTCCTTGCCCCCTCTTCATTTTATTGTCTTATTTCTTGTTTGCACACGTTGCCTTGAGTCAGGAATCAACTCCCCCTTTCCTACACATTCATCCCCCAAAGACCACCGAATGCTCACCATCAAAGTCGATGTTGCCATCTTTGTTGAGGTCAATGTCGGCGAGGATTTCCTCAAGCTCACCTTTCTTCAGCTTCTCCCCCAGGAGGGTCTTCATGCCCTCTTTCAGCTCATCCAACGTGATCTTTCCATCGCCATCACAGTCAAACTTCAATGTGAGCAGTTAGTGGAGAGCAAGGAGGTGGAGACATGAGCATGTGGTACATCAGAGAAGGAAGGGAAAACGTTACATGTTTCTGGGCTAATGAGGAGGGTAATGAGGAGAGACTGAATACAGAGTGATGTAATGAGCACTGGAGAAATACAGACAGAAAAATGAGGGAGTCAGGGTCCATGGATATAAACAGGTACAGAGACTGAGATATCATGCCATACAAAATGATTTGAACACAGCTGTTAAAGTTTCAAACCTTATAGCTACAGCATGGCTGCATGAGGCCACTTGAAGTCTGAGAAAACAGATTGAGAGTGCAGATGGGGCCCTGCTGACTCATGAGGTGTTAGAATTGAAGTGAGGATGACTTGAGAAGTGACTATAAGGTTGAGATAACATGCATTATTTGTTCAGAGAGAAGCCCCTTTAGAGTTGCAGAAGACGTGGAGTTAAATGACATCATTCTTCATAAATTAATTCCAACATAAGAAAATAAGGATTTCTAACCTATGACATCATCACTCAGGACTTGACAATGACTCATGGATGATTAATAAACTCAACATACAATGGAGGATGACTGTACAACCTACAGTCTTTAGCACTTCTTATAAGTGAACACAGAAGCTTTCACTTTAAAGACTTTTCATGCAAAAGAATGATTAATTTTTGTATTTGCATAAAAACAATCTAGGAACTAGATGGTTCACGGGGAGGTTGTCGGAGAAAGACACGTCGTTACACAGCTCACTGTAATAGTGAATCTCAAGTCGAGTTAAGGATGGGTAATTTAATTGACACAATTAACTTTATAGCTTCGAACAGTGTTGTATTTCGAGCTGCCCAACTGTGTGCATTTCTATTTAAAAGCATTGCATGCTGTAAATGTAAGATTTAAATGTTGCTTAACTGTCATTAAAATGCCGTAAAAAACTCAATTCAATTTCCCCTTTTATTCATCGGAGTGCACGTGTTAACTCTAACGTAGAGAACCTAATCCAAGCTGAATATTGTGCACTGAGGTTGTAGTTGTATTCATGAAGAGCCTGTTATCAGTGTGTCTGTTTTGCAGCAACCTTTAGATATATTGCTGTGATGTGCTTTACAGAGGAACCCAGGTGTGTGAAGCTGTGATTTTCAATAACCTGATCATCTCATTAATTTTGCTTGGTCAGAGAATACATCACACTGAGGCTTTGTTCTGGGGACAGATCAATTCAGAACTTGTGTACCCGCCACTGTGTCGATGTCAGAGAGAGCAGCTCAATACCTGGATACTTCCTCTGGACTGATGAGGCACAACAAACAATTAAATAGACTACTCAATTTGCTCATATTAACAAGCGAGACAAATATAGAATAATTTTGTGATGTCCGCATTGAATCACCATCAAAATAGATATTTCACTCTGCCTTTGAACCCTTTTTTTCTGCACTCTCAACCAGTATTCCCCCTCCCTATTTCCTCAGACTTGTTTACAAGTAAGAGCCATACACTCTTGGCACTCTCCAGGGAGCGGTCCTGGTGCACACTTCAAAGTACTGTCATAGTACTAGGCTCCCTTTTCAATTGCTTGAAGTCACACTTCTTAAGAATTTCTAGCTGGGGACCTCTTACCTGTTTGAAGGCACAGCGGAGCTCCTTCAGCCCGACCATGTTAGCCGTCTCAGCCAGCATCCTCGGCCCCATTAACTGGCAGAAATCGTCGAAGTCTACGTGACCACCCCCTGCACAAACACACACACATAAATACAGACACATAAACATGCACAGGATAGCTAATATGTTCATTACTAGGGCCGTCAAATGATTATAATTTTTAGTGTAGATTAATCCCTAAATTTAAATAGTTAATAGCAGTAAATCCCATTATTCACATTTAAAAATAAAAATGATTCTGCTTTTATTTTGAAATTTTGTACTGTCTTTAGCTGAGCGTACCATACAAGAGTGCAGCTTAAAGCATTCCCCACACAGAAGAAGAAGAGATGAGAATGCAGATGTGCATTTATGTCGGCTGTGCATCTCTGACTACAAGACAGAAAGACCCCTGGGTGTTGATGTAATTGATTGATACCTGACTGGAATAAGAGTTAGAAAGACCTTCGTTGCTGAAGGTGGTGAGCTGTGGACTTGCATGTAGATACGTAGTTGTGAGATCAAATCAAAATTGAGTGGTGACACTTTTGGATGGTGACTTTGATGCACTGCTCAGTAATGTAATTATATTATTGCGACTTGAAAATCAATGTTTATATGTAAGTGGATTTGTGAAACAGATTTTGACACAAGCAGGTCTAAAGAAAGAAGTTAAATCAAGAACATCACACTTTTTTTTTAAAGTATTCTGATCTGGCACAGAAACATATCAATCGATTTTATATCAGACATAAGGCAACTTAAGTATTGATTCCCAAATTCCTTGTCGTTGTCCCTCTGTATTGGTCTCCACCACCTCCTAGGAGCGATATCCAGCTCTTGACTGCTCAATTGTGCATCAGCTAGTTGTTTCTTTTGAGTCTCTCATCTGGAAGGTCGGGGTTTGATCCCCGAGCTCCTGCAGCCACATGTCGAGGATTTCTTGGGCAACACACTGAACCCGGAATTGCTCCTAAGTGTCATAGCCAGTTCTCTTCATACAGTTGGCTTTACACTCTGACCTTGACTGTGATTATTTGAAAAAAGAAAGCAAACACTTTTACCATCTACAAAGTCAGCAGACAACGTGTTTCAAATATTTGTTCAAATTATCGACAGTGGACTCTGCACAGTGTCATCTCGAAAGGTTTTATTTGGAATTGATGTATTGGCCAATATTTTCAGAGCTTACCTCGATTCAAATGTATACATATATACTTCCATTTAGGTAACAAAGACTGGCAAGTAAATCTATTTCAGTAAGTGTCTTAACTTTCCCTTAGGAATAGTCAAAGGAGAAATAGTTGTTCAAGTACTTTCCATCTCAATGGTACTTAAATGCAGCACTTGAGTGGTAGCATTGCACAAGGCTTTTCCTGCCTTAATACCAAGCTTGAGAAGTTTTATGAAAGTCCCCCGGGCATTGAGACTGTAACAATGCCAACAGATAAGCGCTGGTAATGCTTCCTGAAACCCACTCAGAACCAGCTTTTTTAGTTTGATCCCCATGGTAATTATCAAAACAGAGCGCTACAACGGGGCGGCCCGTGTTATTAGTCGAACAAAAGACAGGCTTATTTGATAATGTGGACAAATACGCTCGGCCTGTTTTCATTATCTGGGCCTTGGTGGATGTGAAAGGGGACTATAAAAAACCTATGTGGTCATTTTGTGGTTCAAACAATCGAGTCTGTGCTCAGATACTCTGCAATGTGGAGGATTAAAATCAAACCATAGGAAACTCTGCTTGTATGAAAAGCCCTGTTAGTGGTGCTGGCTCATGTAACTTATGTTCAAACTGTCACGTTTTAGTTACAACAGCAGCTGCAGGATTCTGACAGAAAAGACCATTCATTTTAGGAGTTTGACAACTTTCATACTTCCCTGAAGGTACAGTATATTTTTTGGATGACTGGCTGTACCCTTGTGGAGCTGCAGTCTGTGGGGGATTCCTGTCATTGCCTTGAATAATTTCTATGCCTTAACTGGGTCAGTCTATAATCATGGAGTAGAGAAATTCTCCCAAAAGTCTGAGGAGATTATTATTATTTTTTAATTGATAGTGCAATGCCAGTAATATAAAAAGAGACTGAATTTCATGGTATTAATGGCTCTGTAGGGATTATCCTACAGAGATTAAGCTGTAAATGTCTGAAGCCTATTCTACCTTATGGGTCAAATTAAAACATCAATGAACAGATGAATTATGCATAGGACAGAGTATGAAACACAGCATAAAGTATAACATTTAATATTCCCTACAAAATGTCTTGTTCTGAATAATTCTAACACTTTACACAGGCACAAAACACATGGAAATATTCCTGAAATCTGCAGGGTGGACTGCATGTGTGAACACAAACAGCCCAATTATCCACCTCGATATGATTCAACATTTTCCTGCCAGCTCAGAGGTAAAGTTTCCAGAAGAAGTTGAGGTGAGTTGATGCATGATGCAGCAGGAAGTATTCAGGAAAATGTAATATTGCCATCTAACCCGCCCTCTCACTTTGAAGACGTGTGTATGACCAACTCAGGAAGATTTCAGGGGCAGACTGTCCTGAAAATTAAGAGGTTCAAAACCAGCATTACATAATGTGTATTAGCTTGTCCCATCTTTTGTTTTAAAAGCTCAATTCATATATGAGAAGCCATTTTTTTGGTTGAAATGTTATTGGATAATTTGCAATGAATTTAGTCATTTTGTGACTATTTGGTACTTTTGGACGATCTGTACAAATGTTGTTTTATTTTTGGTGTGAGATCCGAATATTTACAGCATGTTTATGAGGTCAATTCAGCAGTGCCTCTCTCTCATTCCGGGTTTTCAAGTTCCATGTTGTTGTCCTTCTCACCATCTCATCAGGAAATTATCCCCATCTGGGACTCCAGGTGAATCTAATTAATGAGCAGGTAGGACAGAAGGCAGATGCACCCTGCTCCCAGAAGAATACTGCTGAGAAACACTTCCTCACTGTATTCAACATGATCTGTACAATATTTTGTTCCACTTTCCTGGGGGCATGATGCTATGTAATTTCTGTGTAAACTGACCTTGATTTGATCCTTTTCTTGGACCACACACATAAGGAGGGCTGTAGATAAAAGAAATAGCCTACAATACTAAAACAGAGAAAAATAAATGAGTAAAATAAATTACTTTGATCTTTAATCACCATTTCCTGTTACCTAAGTTTTACAAATACGTTTTTAAAATAAAACATTTTATATAAATATATGGAGACATATCCAATGCCTTCTTTTTAAAAACATATTTCAGTTTACGTAATGACGTCAAATCGACCTGGATGACGACGACTGTTGGCTTTTCACCTTTGACTGTAAAGCGGACAACTGAAACAAGAGCTACTCTCGCAGTTTCGGATGAATACTGTAAAATTCACGATAATTATAATGTTCATGGACCGAGTTTTATATTTTGTTCGACACGGTAAGACAGACACGACGAGTGAGAGTGGAAGATGTTGAATAAGGAAGGTAACGTCGCGGAGACATTCAGATGGGTTTTAATGAGGCCGACGAGGAGGCCTATGAAAAAGAGGACGTCTGAACGAACTGCGTTACTGTAAGTTTACTTTTGTGAGCTGAACGTGTTTCTAGCAAGCAGGAATTATGTTGATATTATGTTGGAAGTATGCTGTTTCCATATGTAGCCTAATAATACATTACCATCAGCTCGTGTTGTTGGGTTCTTGTGTTGCCTGGGTTCTTATGATGGTTCTTATATGTCTGGTTGTGTATCGTGCACTTTGGGTTCTTTTCTGTTGAATTGTATTTAATTATTCTTAGTATTTTGCATCTGTTATATTCTTACTGTTGTTAATGTTCTTCTGTGTTTGCTTTGTTCTTGCTGTTTGTCAAAGCACTTTGTAAACATGTGTTTTTAAAAGGTGCTATATAAATAAAGTTATTATTATTATTATTATTATTATTATTATTACCTCAAGTAGGTTAGTGCTGAAGCCTTTTTGCTCTCAGCTAAAGCATTCTGTAAATCCATTGATAGTTTTGTGAGGACTTTGATTTGGAGTTGGGCCAGAGTTAACTTTAAAGCTCATTTACATCTGTGGTCACTGAGCAGGAAGACCTAAAAAATACAACTACTTACATTTTTTCATGGGTGTTGAAAAATGTTTTGAGAACTTTTGAAAACAAGTATTTCATCTGGTGCTCTTGAGGTGCAGGGATCAAACTTAGGGGTCTTCATCAGGGCAGCCCTCACCTGCCCTGATGAAGGCCTGCTGTATGGCTGAAACGTGCTGGCATGTTTTTATGACCATCATTGTAGCCCTGATGAATTTAAATAGCCTCTAATTTTGTTATTATTTGTTTAAAAGATGTTCAGCAGCAATTGATCTCTCTAAAAAAATGTGTCTAAAACAAAAAATGGTATCTATGGCTATAGAATCCTTAGAGATGAATAAGAAAATATCTAAGTGGAATATTCCTTTATTTGTCAAGCTGAATATATATTTTCAATTAGGCCTAGTTGTCTCTTTTGCAGACAGATATCTTAGGAAAGGGAGAAAATAATGTCTTGGGTTGATTGTTACAAATGCTTCTTTTGTTCTCATGTGGCTGGATGTGCTTGTCTTTGATTGATTGATTGACAACTGCTGACAACAAGCTTAGCTTCAGGTCTTAACATCAGTAGAGTTGTGCTGTAGGATACATGTCGCATGCATGACAGGTGGAATGGGAACGGAAGGTGCACACAAGCGATACCCTCTAGGGTGATGAGAATGAAGCCAATGCAGAAGTGCAAACAAAACCCCTTCAGTACCTTGACTGTCCACTTGAGGCTTGCCGTAAAAGCCAATCATGAATTGACATTAGGTCACAAGTTAAAATGCCTATTTTGACAGCAGAAAAGATGTTTACAGCCTGGTTCAAAAAAACAAATATGATATCAAAAGCTAATATCTGTATCTGTTCACACTTTGCAGGTTTAGATTTAGTTAAAGCTGTCTGTTGTGGTTGTATTAAGCCTAAGAGTTACTTGTGCATTTTCATCATTAGGAGCCTTGGTGAGTTGAGTGACAGGTGGAGGCATTGTAGCCGTTGCCAGGAGGTTAAGGCCTTTCTTAGCTCTTTCTAGACTGATTGAAGGTTAGGTTGAAATAGCACTTTCAATATGGCAACCACTGATGAGCCACTGTTTGCTTCTAGCAGTTCTTTTAATAATAATTTTGTCTTTTTTAAATATAATGGACATTTAAACATCTAAAACATAGTTGTGAGGCAGTGTTGGTGAATTCTGGCATCATTGTGTTGTTGTTGTTTTTATGCAGCTTGATTGATGTAAACCTGTGTTTTTTTTATTTATTAGGATTTTATAGAAAATAGCATTCTCCAGGTGTACAAATCCTGCTGTGTGGCCATTAAAGGTCAATGTCTTGGCAAACATTTACAAAGGTTTTATCAGGATTTTCTGGCCTTGCTCTGACACTCAGTAAGTTCAGCAGGAACTGCTTCTCCAGGCTTAATGGCAGAAGTCCAGAAATCAATGCAAAGATGATACACCTTAAACTTTAAACACTGACCACACACAGATCTATACACGCTCATTCAGAGAAGACGGCAAAGACAAACGCCTCTGCATGCGGAGGGAGGAAAGTTGGATCTGAACTAAACACACAGTTCTAGACGCAGACTCACTCTCATACACTCCTGCACCTGCAGCATGTGGGCCATTAATCAGTTTGCTAAAATGCCTCCAATGTCCTCAGATTCAAAGACAAACAACATTTCCTCATGGACCTGTGCACATATAGCACACATTTGTGCAAACCACATCGACCGATTACTCAAACATTCACACCTCACTTCAGAAAGTCCCATCAATCATGCACATGTTTCAACCACAGGGGGAAGAAAAGGAACTATACACACAAACACATAACCAGATGGATAAATACACACATCTCATCTTGATTTGCTGGATGATCTCGATCAGCTCCATCTCTGTAGGCATGTAGCCCATGGTCCTCATGCAGTCTGCGATGTCTTTGTAATGGATGAAACCATCCGCGTCGTAGTCAAATTCCTTAAAGGCCTCCTGCAGCTCTGACAAGACACACAGACAAATTACAGAAATCCCAGCAAACCGTTAAGTAGGGTACAATATTTTCCCCCAAGAGTCAAACACATAAACATACACAGTGTGCACAGATACTGATAGTAACACTTTAAACAAAGTTTGTTTAATCCAGCAGAGAGAACCAAAGCCAGCTCATAGGAGCAGCAAGTGGTGCAGTTTAATTGATTTTATAGCGGTGAGTCATTGGCAAACAACATTTGAATGCAGTCTGAGAAAACATCAATGTCTAACATGAATCATGAAGAGGAGCAAGCTTAATGAGAACAAATATCAATGCTATTGATGAAGCTGTGCAATCCACTTTTTGTTTATCATATTTTTTTTTGCGATTTAGTCAAAGAAAAAGATAACGTCTTACCATCCAACTCCCCTGGCATCAAATCTCGCTCCTGTTGAGCAGAGAGAACAACAAAGGGAAAAGTAGAAATAATTACGAGACAGCATCGGAGGACAGAATGTAAAATCAATGTGGCGTTTTAAAAAAAGCGAATTCTCTTGAGAAATACCTCCGTGATTATCTGCTTTTTGACTCCAAAATTAGAATAACATGCATATCATGTCAACACTGCTGAATGCTGACAGTCAATCCTAATGGGATTTCCGCCCGGCGACATGTCTTTCTAGTTTACAAAATGACACACTGTAGCAGCACACACTCCTTAGTGCACGCATACGCTCTACATCTGCAGCATCCTGAGGGAGACGCAGCATTTGCTCGGTCTGTGTGCGTCGTGCACCCACCCTTCCCACCCACCCCCCTCCATTTGACAGGGAGTTGCACAACCTTGCACAGTTAGAAACACAGACGCATGTAAACCAAGACACAGATATGCACAGGAGACTGCAAAGACACACAAGCGTAATTTGCATATAGCTTTTCTGTGTGAAACACTTTATATTCTCTGCCTTGTTTTGACATTTGCACAGGGTGATCTCCTCCGTTCTCTCTGTTCCCTGTTCTCTCCCCCTTTTCAAGTATTTTCAAGGAAGTAGAGGCAAAGATAGAAGCTTGGAACAAACTCTCTACACTGACTGACATGTGAAGTAATTGAGCTTAGGGAAATTTAGGTTCGCAGGGAGTGAAAGTATCAAAATGTCAACTGAATTGATCTGCTGTAGACAGAAAATGATGATTAAAGGATAAAACTCGGTAATCATTTACAAAACTGGTCTAAAGCATATCCTCAGGCAAAATATACACTTCAAACTCAGATTTTAAAAGATAAAAAACAGAATAAGAACAGGGTGGCAAATCAGTCCTTTAACAATATTTTAACCATGCATCACATACTGTATAGATTGAAGGGGCTATGAAATAAAATCAGCGAGTCTGAGGCTAAATGCCGCTTAAAAAACCCTCTTATGCCAACTGCATCTTGACTCAAGGGCTTGCTCTTAACAATGTGCAACTCGTCCAGAAACATCCTCACATCCTCAAGGGGAACAAGAAACATGCAAACTCAGTCAGCTTCCTATAGAGCAGCTAAGACCCTGACATATGGAGATATCGCTTAGTACAAAGAAGCCCAAAGCCTGAGGAAATCTATAAGTTCAAAGAAGAAACAAGAGTGACATAAAGCCCTATGAAAGCTCTCATTATTGCCAACAAGAAGTATGCACATATTTGCTAGAGGCTTGTATTTTTTTCTCCTTAATTTCGTGCAGTAATGAAAAATACTGGAAGGGAGGGATAAAAAAATAATATCCGTCTGTGTGCAGAAAAAGCATTTTACTCTGTTCCTCGACACATTTCACTGAATTATGCTTATTTTTTACATCATAATACTTTTACGGAATTTATTTATTTTGCACTGTTTGAGTATCTTTTTTAAGATATAGAAAATCAAAAATGTTAAAGGCGCACAGTATGTAAATAATTAATTTAGATATTTGAATGTAAACCTTGTCATGAATTCTACATGTTGTACATTTAAAATAGTTTGCAAACACAACTTCCACATTCAAAAAGTGTTTTTCTGTTGGTATCTTGAGCCGATGAAATGCAAATTTTCATCTTTCTCTTTTGCTTATACATTTTTTATGTAATGCTTTTCATCGAGTGTCTTTTCTAATCACTTTTTCGATACATTATAGAAAAGTCTTTTTCATCTTCAGCATTTTCTTTTAACTCCAAAAAAGTGGGACACAAGTTGAAAAGCAGATTAGCAGTAGAACTGAAATGCAAGGCAAAGTATAACATTTTCCTCTTAATACATGTTGGCACTCAGGGTGGTTAATACATAAATCATACAAGGTCATCCTGCTCAAGTGCACAATAGCTTGAGGAAACAGGAGAGGCCCTGTGGTTTTTTTGGAAGCCGCTTGGCGTGGCAGGCGCTCAAATGATTATTCACTGTATGATATTGCCAACAGAGTCGCAACACAGATTCAATGCCAGAATGCAATTGCATCAAGAGTAATCTCATTTTATGTGTAGTCTGCCCCAACTTCTAAAACACTTTTACACTGATTGATATAATGCTCTAAAAAGTTTAAATTTTGCTTTTGTTAATGCTTGAGCATAACAAAACTAACTGTGTTGCGAAGAGTCTGGAGCTAGTGTTTACCCTGCACAGGATCCTGCAGCCTACAAGGCCATATTTATGAAACAAGGTCAACACATTAATTGGATTTTTTTTCATCTAGAAAGGATTAGAAAGCATATATAGTCTCATTTCATCTGTTCCAACGAGCCCATTAACAGTTAATTTCATTATGTCTGCCTTCACATGGCCCATTGAGCAGCCTGCTGCTACGTAAGCATGATGCATGATCATATGTGTGAGGAGGAGTCATCAAGAACACGTCAAAGGAAAGACACCTAAATATATAGTTACAGTATATGTTTATTTCCCATCGATGAGTTCAGGCTATTTTGCTTCATATCCATCTGTCTTCTGATCCGACATGTAAATGCATCAATTGTTTTTCTCCGGCTATTCGTCTCTCGCGGCATCTTCTTCAGATGGATCTAATGAGGGCTGACAGTGAACCTTGCTGAGGGGGTTATTAATACTTGTGTCGAGGCAGGGATTAGGACGGCTGCAGGATGGATGGTCTCCCCGCCTCAGTGTCAGGGCAGCAACCAAAACAGCATGTTGTCTATCCCGTGGTTACTATGCAAACGTCTACACCTAGATAGTGGATACTAGTCAATTTAAAGCAGGGAGTGTGACAGTTAAACAGGGCCGATCGGTCATGACAGGTGTGGCAGTAACTCAGGGACACATGTAGAGGTGGAGTCCATTGAAGCCCAAGGTCACTGAGAAACGCTGTTCAAGTCTCATAAATTACTCTAAAACAATGAAACGGTCCCATTTAGTTATTAAAAATCCATTCATGAAATACCATTAAAACGTTCAGACCCACACATCTCCCCCTCGTGTAGATTTCTCTGTTATCTTTTACAGTGGGCCTCTCTCCTGTAATAAAGGCATTGATGGCAAAGCCTCAGGCTCTGCTTTGTAATTAGGTCTTACAGGGTCCTGTATCGGTTCAGTGATTAAAAGGATCTTTTCATACAATATAATAACAAAAAGATTAGGACTGCAAGCACTATTCTGAAAGGGCCCAAGCAGGTAGAGAGCATAATAACATCAATTGTGTGTTATTTATTTAAAAAAACAACTCTATATTTTCTTGTTATAATCATATATGAGCAGCGATTTTTTTTTTTTTTTTTTTTTTGTGCGACTATAGGTCTGATGGTTTTTCAGCAGTGGAAAATATTACTGTACAAATGTTCAATGGCTCACCACAAGGCAATTAGTAACAATAGGCAGGCAATACCCATGAGCGCTTGAAAACACACCACTTTAGTGCAGTGATACAGATGCTGCTGATTAAGATAAGGACGTTTGCAGAGGAAGCTGACAAAGATTTGGTACTATTGGCTCTAACACACTGAGAGGAGTACAAACAATATAATTTTGAGAAAAATCAAGAACAAATAAAACGTCCAAAATGTGACATCGTAGATGAAATGTAAATTGGTTGAGAAATTAAAATTATGGAAGAGCTAAGCCTCTCAGCCAAGTTGTTTGGTTTTCATTTATATTTGAACGTTATTGTTTCAAAGCCAATGAGTGTCATTTAATGTGCCTGAGTAGAAAGTTGAAACATAACAAAAAATGGTATCACGATGAAAATGTTGTTACAGTACCAGCATTTCACTGTTATGATCTTCACAGCAGTGTACAGTCCTCCCAGTGCAAACACCAGAGAAGCCCTGAATGTTTTATACCGCTCCATCAGTGAACTGCAATCTACACATCCAGAGGGAGTTTTCATTGTGGCAGGGGACTTTAATCAGGCCAATATGACTGTTTTTCCTCATTTCCATCAATATGTGGATTTTGCAACCAGGGGTGGGAGCACGCTGGACCTGGCCTACAGCAACATCAAGAAGGCATTCAAGGCTGCAACCCGCCCCCACCTTGGCTCCTCAGACCATCTCTCTGTGATGCTATTTCCAGCATACAAGCCCCTGCTGATCAGGAAAAAACCCACAGTGAAGCAGGTGAGGGCCTGGCCTGAGGGAGCTATGTCTGTGTCTGCATACATTCAGAAGTGCATCGAGGATGTTAGTGTGATCAAGAACATCTCCACAAGGGCCAACGAGAAACCCTGGATGACTAGTAAAGTACGTGCAATGCTGAAAGCCCGGAACGACGCTTTTAAAATCTGGTGACATGGTGGCACTAAAAACAGCCAGAGCCAACCTGAACCGTGCCATAAAGGTTGCAAAGCGGGCTCACAGTCAGAAAGTGCGGGACTTCTTCGAGGACCCCACGAACACCAGACGAATGTGGCAGGGCATCCAAGTCATCACAGACTATAAAGCTACTCCTCCCCCCTGTGACAACAACATCAACGACCTCAACGACCTCAACGACCTCAACAACTACTTTGCAAGGTTTGAGGCACTCAACACCACTCCAGCGAGGAAATCTATTCCTCACTCCGATGAGCAGCCAATCAGCCTGGACGCAGCTGATGTCCGGAGAACCCTGAGGAGAGTGAACACCCGGAAAGCAGCGGGCCCTGACCACATACCGGGACGGGTGCTTAAGGAATGTGCTGACCAGCTGGCTGGGGTTCTCACAGACATCTTCAACACCTCGCTAATCCAGGCTGTGGTACCATATTGTTTAAAGACTGCTACAATTATACCAGTGCCTAAAAAATCCACAATCTCCTCGCTCAATGATTACCGCCCTGTAGCACTAACCCCCATCATGATGAAGTGCTTTGAGAGGCTGGTAAAGGACCACATTGTCTCCAGACTTCCCCCCACATTCGACCCGTACCAGTTTGCTTACCGCCCAAACCGCTCCACAGAGGATGCCATCTCCTCTGCACTCCACCTGGGCTTACAAACATCTGGAAG